ACAAAAGGTATCAGTAGAAAGAAATGTGAAATGAAAGAGCGCGGAGACTTACACAACGGTCTCGGGGAGCAAAGTACATGACAACGAACCAACAACGGGCTTGGTCGTTATTCAAGGGTAATCCGGGCGATGTACGGTTCTGACTCATGTCAGAGTCTGTAAATAAATGAAAAGCTTGATAACAGCTCGACGCACCTGTTGTGGAACTACCAGGATTCAGAGTCAAGCTTCAAGGCTTGAGTCGTCGTGGCAAGTCAGCCCTAGAACGAATCGAACGAGGTCAGTACACCTGGATTATGTTTCGAGGGCCGTAGACTCACTCACCAAAGAAGTTGTTGAACTGAACCCTCGGGCCAGTTGCCCGGCAGGCATGCTGCCTACAACGAACCAAATGAGAGTCAGCGGTGCATCGAAGTGAGGACACCAAAACTTACTGGTACAACGAGAGGACTGAGTTAATGACATCGTAAGTAAATCAAAGTAAATACTGGCTGAATCGGTCAGTCCAATCTGAAGTAAAGTCAACGACGACGACGTAGCTTGAACAGTAGCAATGCACTAATACAGAGTGTCGGTCAGTATTGTTCAAGGTAGACTAAACTCAGGGACGGCATTTACAACGAATGCAAGTCAGTTCGAGCGGACTAGAAGGGTTAGTTTTTGAGGACTCGGACGAGATCTATCAGGCAGTCAGTCATAGCTGAAGAATCAGAGAGTGGTACACACACCTCAAGTCGCTTGCACACAGTCTTGGCTTTCCTGGAGTATCGGAGGCCGGGAGGTAAGAATCTGAATGAAGTTGGTCCACGCGAAAATAATGTGTACCTTGCAGGATTCAAGCATAGTTTCGGTACTTGAAGTCGGCGGCAAAATCTAGTACAACACAAGTCAGTGAATTACTGTGAAATATGTGACTGAACAGTCAGAGTGACGAACACGGCAATAACCCAGCATTGAAGGCTTGTCCAAGTTTGCGTCAAACTGGTTGGATCTAGAGAACGGTCAGGGCCATCTGCGGAAGTTCTGACACAGACCGCATGCAATGGTCGGCGCCGGGCGACGATTGCGAAAGGGAAATCCAGCAAGCTCCACGCGGTTACAAGACAACCCAATTCCGAGTCGCAGCTCCACGGACAAGTAGAGGCCTATTTTCGTCGTTGGACTTTACGGCAGGTGGTGTGCAGATTCAGAACACAGGAAGACAGAGAAAGACGGAAAGGCCGAGACAGGATCTGTCGACGGGACGGGGATCAATCTTCAAGCCGCATTAAGATTGAGAGTTTAGGCGAGGAATAGGAGGTCCGATGTGGGTGCGGCCCGTTGATTGAGTTCGATATGTACGAGTTTTGCGGAAGGGAGGAGAATTCAAAGGCGGTGCGCACGTCGGGTCGGATATCCGAGTCGCTCCATCCGACTCCAGACTCCGGACTCCAAGGCAAAGAAAGCCGAGCTCCAATATCCAAAGGGGCCGTGCCTTGGCGGATATGTGCATTCAAAAGATTGTATTAGCCAAAGCGCCGCGACCCCTCTAGGCACCGTTGAATGGAAGCGGGTGAAAGACAACAACAATGAAGCGGGGGCGGCGTCCAAACACACGTACCAAACTGTAAACAACCCGTGTTGGTTGATATTCGGCGTCCTTGTTCTCCTCCTCCACCCACCCTTTCCCTCCCTTTTAACGCACGCACGCACCCTTCCACCCACCCGCCCCTTTCACCGACCGACCCGCCCCTTTCACCCACTTTCACGCACCCACCCCTTTCACGCACGCACCTTCTTTTCTCTTCCTCACCCTCACCGTGCTCGGACCTAATCGCGCTCTTGACTCCCAACGCTAAACCCGCGAGTCGCAACGTACTCTAAACTCGCTTGAACGCACTCACCGTGCTCGCACACCACGCACCACGCACCCATGAAATCCCTCACCTCCACCTTCACGCAGATCCTCTTCCCCCTCTCGCTCATCGCCTCCACACTTGCGCACGGCTGGCTCGGCACCCTCACCGTGGCCTCCAACGCGCACACCGGGCCCCTCCCCGTCGAGCAAATCGGGCTCTCCTCCTCCTCCTCCTCCCCCTCCCCCATCCGCCAAATCCTCAACAACCTCCCCATCAAGGACCCCCGCTCCTTAGACCTCACGTGCGGGCGCGGCGCCGCGCCCGGCACGCAGCTCGCCGCCGCCAAGCCCGGGGATGTGTTGAGGTTGGATTGGAAGACGTTGGCAGAGGGGGGGCGGTGGTTTCATGATGTTGGGCCGATGATGGCGTATTTGACGGAGTGCGGGAGTGCGAGTAAGTGTACGGGCGAAGGGGAAGGGGGGTTCAATGCGAGCGAGGCGGAGTGGTTTAAGATTGCCCAGCAGGGGGTGGGGGAGGATGGGACGTGGGCGCAGGCGAAGCTTGGTGTGTTCCTCCCTTTTCTCCTTCCTTCCCCATTCCCCTTGCTCGATGCGAATCGAATACTCACCAATGCGCATATGTGACAGACACCGGCGCCCCCGCGACGCTCACCATCCCCCGCACGCTCGCCCCCGGCAACTACCTCCTCCGCTTCGAGATCATCGCGCTGCACACCGCACAGTCCCCCGGCGGCGCCGAGTTCTACCCCGCCTGCGCGCAGCTCGCCGTCTCCGGCTCCGGCACGGGCAAACCCAGCGCAAGCGAGCTCGTAAAGCTGCCGGGGGCGTATAAGGCGACGGATAAGGGGATTTTGGTGGATGTGTATGATTTGCCGGAGGGTGGGTATGTGTTTCCGGGGCCGAAGGTCGCGGCGTTTGTGGAATGTGGGAGCGCGGCGGCGTCGAGTGGTGCGAAGGTCGCGTCTTCCAAGACGACTAAGGCAGCCGCGACAGCGAAGACTACGAAGCGCGCGTCTTCCAGCAAAGCAGCCGCGTCTTCCAAAACTACCAAGGCCGCCGCCACGCACACCTCTAGGCACATCTCCACACACGCCGCCTCCACCTCCGCCCCCAAATCCACCGCCTCGCCAAAGACGTGCAAGACGAGCCACGCGTCGCGGCGGCGGCGCGCGCTTGCGGACGCTGCTGACTTGGAGGCGCGTGCGGAGGCGGAGGCGCAGCACGCAGACGAGGGTGTGGAGGAGAATGAGAAAAAGAACAAGCGCTCCCGTGCGCGTCATCTGCACCGGCTTGGCGGGCCGGGGAGTAGGGCGTCCTTTTGAAAGCGCTCCTTCCACTGTTCTGTTCTGTATCTTCCCCGGCGCAGTGGCACTCACGCACCCGCTGCCTGCACCATCCTACCCGACACCACTACGATTTCTCTTGCTTGCCACAGACTTACCATAATACCATCATCCGCATCAAGTTGATCAACGACTCGCCAACGATACGCAGCCGCACCCTCTCCCTCACCTCTCGCATTTCTCTCCGTCTCTCACATCACCGGCTGGGCCACAATTTTTGCTCTCTTGTTTTCTCTTTATTTCCTCCCCGTGTATTACCGCCATCATCGCGTCCGGACGTGCTGCTCTCCCTACTTCCCCGGCCCAGCGCCGGAATAACGGACCCGGCGTCCTCGTCCCTTCCCGCGGCACGTGCGCCGTGCACATCCTCGATGGCTTTCTAGATCTTGTACTTAACCTTTGACCGACGAACTAACGAAAAAAATTACCCCGTGTAGCCGTACCGTACCGTTTCAATTTGTGTAGATTCTGTAGAAAACGTAGATCGTGTAGACGAGAATTGGAAACGCTGTGCGTTTCCTGTTCTATCAATCCCTGAGGATTCCTAGGAATGGCACAAAGTTCAAACGACGTAATGAAGGGACAAAACCGAGATCAAAAATGCACGAGCGAACAAAAAAAAGGACTGGTCCAATAAGCTCTCGGTGGGAGTCGAACCCATGGCATCCACATATACTACGCTCCTTTTTTATAGTGTGTGGAGGATCTACCAAATCCCTTTGCTCAACCCCTCCACTTGAACAACGACTCTTATAGTCTCTTTGAGTTCGCAAACCAAGGGGGAAAAAACTGAGGCACACAGTAGACTGCCGTTCATTTCAAGAGTCCACAGTACACTACGCTGTGCTACAAGAGGGGAAGAATTTAAAGAAAGTCCTTGTATTAGCAGACAATTATGAACGATTATCAACGACTATGTCCCACAGTGTCCATCGGCTGCAGCCCATAACTCCAGCCCTGCGCCGTAGGGTAGCCACTCCATACTTTACTGCTGCAACAACTACGCGCGTCCGTGCACGACCCCATGTTTATGACATGTCAAACCAGGCGGGTCCTGCCGCAGCGGCGACAGGGGTAATCACCATCTCAGCCACCATCAGCAGGCAGCACGATGGGCTGAGCTCGAGCTACGAGACGGCCGATGGCGGGAGTACACCGCCAGCTCGACACCGCCAGCTCGACACGCCCTCCAACGATCTCATCGGGGGTGGCGACGGGAACCCAATTGCCGCTGCGACATTGCGCGTGCAAGGCAGACGGAGCGCGGACGATGGCCACTCACTCGTCTTCGCGTGGCGTCGCGCGTTTGCCTGGAACGGGCCAGCGGCGGCGGCTCGAGGCTGGATGCCTCCCGATGACGACTGAGGCGGAGAGCGTGATGCGCCGCGCGCGCGCGGCGCTAAGGGGCTTTCATCGTTGAGACGGTCGATGGTGGTCGCGGTCGTGGTCGTGGTCGTGGTCGTGGTCGGAGTAAACAAGTTGACGGTGTTTGGCAAGCGGGTGGGAACCTGGTCACGTGTTTCCCGGGGAGGGGTTGAGCTACTGTTGAGCTGCGCGGGCTAGGATCTACCGCTGACCTTGGGGTAGGAGGGTTGAGTTTCCTGGGATATGGGTGAGTGTGAGTAAGTAGAAGGATCAACTCGGAATTCGTTCTTGTATGACGAGTGAGCCAAGAAGGAAAGGGGATCCAAACGGAGGACTTGAAGGAGGAAGAGGGATTCCAAAATTGAGCGGGTGCCTCCTGAAGGAAAAGAAAGGGGAGTTGAATGAGAAAAAATTGATTCCGCCTGACGAGTTTACGCCCCCGGTGGGAGTCGAACCCACGCCGTCCACCTAATCCAAGCATTTCTGTATATTGCAAGGGGTTGATCTACCCCTGATCTACGAAGGCTTGATAGTGTTGTGAGAGAGTTAAATCTCCTGGGAGGTGAGTGTAATCATTAAATAGTGGAGGAGTGAAATGAACTCGAAATGTTGTCCTTGTATAACACGGAGCATTGAGCCAGTAGAAAATCAGCACGACGGGAAGGGAGTGCAAAAGTTGTGATGCCGACTTCCCTTAGTAAGCGTTGCGTCCGCCACCAGAAAAAAACGATTCGGTGCTCGCTGAGCTGCCCCTGCAAGGTTCGAACTTGCGATCTCACGATGAAATATCTGCCATACCCAAGTATAACAGTCGTGCGCCTTCACCAACTGGGCCAAGGGGCAGATGGGTTAAGATTGTGCAACAGAATATGAGTATCGAGTCATGAACAACGACACTTCTCTTGTACATAACGTATTGGAGGCGCGTCCAAGAAACGATGATTTGGAGGCCACTGGAGTTCAAGTGGTGTAATGCGACCTTTCAACTCACAGTAATTGAACCAAAATTACTTGGCAGCACCTCTGTGAGTGCCGAACTCATCCGATGCCTGTCAGCAGGCATGGTGTCTCGTGCTTATTTTCCGCGAGTGTATCAACACAAAATCAAGGTCAGAATGCGTGATTCCCAGAGACAGCGAAATCTTTCGAGGTTGAACATTGCCCATGTGACTATGGTTGAATTTGGACGGCGATCATTTTTGTTCCCGAGGCTCGTAAAATTATGCGAAGGGACCGGATCTTCCATCGAGCATTAGTCCAGACTACAATTGTACAACCAATCACCCCATGAAGTGTGTGTATTATTGTATGATTCGTTGAACATGCACCGCAAAAAGTCGCGCCGAAATGCAGGTTATTCCAACACGCGAAATCGCCGCGCGCAATGGAATTGACATCAACGCCGAATAAGTCGTGTCTGATTATATAAATTCCTGAGTTATCATACTGTTCGAGTCTCACAACAGAGGTCTACAATCCACAGCATCACCCAAAGCATCTGCAAGCGTCGAAAAAATGGAGCTCCTTGTCCGATGCAAGAAAATGGTGCGTGCACCGTGTATATCCTCCTTTCAGAGCGAATTGCTATGCAAAACTCGTAACCTTACTATTTGCAGCTCTGTAAATTAGATCCCCCACTCTTCCGCACAGTTCAAGTACAAATAAATTCGCCGGTATCCCAGATACCGTGCTTTTTAGAATACAGCTTCATGCAATCGCAGATTACGGTCTGCTGATAATATATATAGTCTTCCGAAGGTCCCACCTAGGGAGCCCTGGGATCAAAGTCAATGTTTTTCCCGCCGTCCTTGACCCTGCTTCAGATATTAGCCAAAATGTCTGTGGATCGATCTGAGCCCGGACCTGATGCGCGTCCACGAGCCGTTTGACTGCGGCCATGAACAGTAGGTAGCGGGGGCCCATTCCAATCTTGTCCTTTTTGGCAACTTACCAGGGGGCAAACTTATACGGCACCTGGTTATCTTTGTAACCCCTCAACATGGAAAAGCATAGTGTGTACATAATCTGTGAGGAGGACCAGTTTGCACTCGGAATCAACAGCATACCTGAAAGACATGGTAAATATGCGGAGAATGAAAGAAAAGGTCCGCGAACTTCTCGATTTGAGGGAGAAACTCGACTACATTCTTTGCAGCCTGATTCCCCTCTTTCGCGTTTTGCTTGAAAATAGGAACAAACGCATCAGGGCACCTGCGGTTTCTGTGAGAACGCACTCATCTTTTGCCTGGCGGCTTGGGATTTGCCTTGTCCGAATCCTGGCGTGCTCCTAGAATTTAGAAGGATCGGTCCATTTACCTTTTTTTGGTGGTCCGCGAACACGGTTAAAAATTCATCATCGTCTTTCACACCGTCCAAGTGCTCCAGAACCAGGAAGTGGTCCCATCGGGTGAGGTCTATAAATACATCAGTTCCTATGTTGAAAGCTCGAAGCTGAGGCCGGGACTTCCCACCGGAAACCGAAAGCTGCTGGTTGAAAAAATAACCTGCTTGCTTCATGTCCTCCCTCTTAATGAATTCCGAGTGTTTGGTTAACGTTTGGTTGACAATGTTCAATAATTGAGATACATGGTTCAACATCCGTGGTTGTAGGAGGTGTATTGGAAGTGTACGAGATCTATCTGCTGCTAGGGGATTTGTCTGGCGGTTGTTGGAGGTAAGAACTTGCAAATGGTGTAAAACCCCGTGGTTCTGTTTAAACGTACGCGTGTTAAAAAACCAGCTGTTTTGAACGTGGTTCTAGGTTGAAAGCCATCACGCGCCGCTGATTTTTGTCGCGCAGCCAGCCGATGCTGATGAGGCTGATGGTCATCACTGGTTTTGGCGACGGAGATCAACGGAATCGGGCGTGCCAATTCGCACCCACCCACAACTCCCACCACACGTCTCCACGATGAACTCTGCCCTTCCACTCTACACGGAACCGTCCTTGGATTTCGATCCTCACAACATATGAAAGCTTGTGCGAGGCGCGAAAGAGCGCGACGAACAACCCACTAGTACAGCGCGGAAGCCAGTTTTCGCTGACCTTGGATATCCCCCCGCAAAATCCCGCTCCCGGTGCTCGTGGTGTTCCCTTGCTTGCAACCATCACCGATTCCGGTAGCGCCAAAGTCCTCCTCGAGGTTTTGCAACCCGGCATTGGTGGCTACTCGCAAGTGTGGAGAGCCGTACCCCGTGGGGCACCTGAAACAAGCCTGGTCATGAAGATAATTCAGCCCTCCCTGTGTTACTTTCCACTTCCGGATGAGGATTGGATGGGCGACAACCATCGTCCGGAGCATCTCGCACGGCACGAAGCTTGGGTGTATCAGGCGTTCGCGAGCAAACAGGGCAGCTTAATTCCCTATTTCTTCGGACTTCATACTGTAAGCCTCCTCGTGCTTCCTTCCAGGCGTCTGCTGAGCTCGGCTCCTTGTTCAGATCAAGACCCCGTCGGAAGAGTGGGCATGGGTCCTGGTCCTTGAGTTCATCCCCGGCGACACGCTGAAAGCCGACGCCGAACGGAAATCGATCCGTCTTATCCAGGAGTTTGTGAGCCCGGCTCGCTCACTTCCACTTGCATCTTCCTCACCTGAACTAACAGTGTACCCTTGGTATCGATTCCGTCAAAGAAATGGCACGTAGTCTGGCAACTCGCCGATGTGCAGAACCCTGCCAACTTCATTCTCACTGGCACCGCTGAGACAAGGAAGGTTGTGCTCATAGACCTGTTCGGCGGGTCGCCTTGGACAGGCCCCAAGGAAGACCTCGTCATACGGGACACACGGCGATTCTACCAAACTCTGTGTGATGCTGTGTGTGGCTGGCGTTCCTATTCCGAAATGGACATCTGGGCGACCGAATCCCTGAGATCATCATAACCATACTTGACGGTCCCCATTCAGAGTCCGTTCGGATGTTTCTGATGATCAGTTTCAGAATCAGTTTCAGAACCGGTGACCCGGCAAATAAGTTACCGATGTCAATCGATAACGATAGATAATGATAGATAATGAATTCCTGCCCGTCTTTTGCCACTTCTTGCCCTCCTCCATGCCCCCTAACCTCCGGAATGTTGCCATACACCACCTGCAGCTATGGATAAACAGTGCTGCAAATGTGGTACGACTTGTGGCGGTTCTCTGCTTGCTGTACGGCAGTAACTGGTATTGGGCACAACCCTACCACACTTCAAAGCTTACTGGGCAGCAATGGGTCGAGGAGTTGATGCGTGGGCACCCCGAGAGGATCTACAATGAACTCGGGGTCCATCTGCATGTCTTTATCATGCTGTTGATTGAACTACGAGGCTTGGGTATCTCGGACTCAAAATTTGTCTCTCTCGAGGAGCAGCTGGCAATCTTTCTGTACATATGCAGGACTGGGCTGGGCTGCCGCCACGTTGGTGAGCGATTCCAACGGTCTAATGAGACCATAACAAAGTGAGTAGAATTTATTTTATGGTCTTCCGCGGACACTGATTCATTTATGGTGCAGATTCTTTCGCAAATTGGTTTTCACCTTTTCTGGTGGCAGCTTTTACAACACATATGTCACCCTGCCTACTTCCCAGGACCCGCCAGCCTCCTACCTCCGAAACAATCCAAAATTCTGGCCCTTCTTCGAGAACTGCCTCGGTGCTATGGACGGTTCACATATTGCTTGCACCGCCAGCGAGAAAGATCGTTCAAATTCACGCAATCGAAAAGGCTTTCTTTCCCAGAATGTCCTTGCTGTTTGCAGCTTTGGATTTCGTTTTATCTATATTCTTTCTGGGTGGGAAGGATCTGTTACAGATGCTTTTTTGTATGCGGATGCACGCATCAAGGACTTTCCCATCCCCGAAGGTTGTTTTTACCTTGGTGATGCCGGCTTCCCCCTCACGGCCAAGGTCGTTGTTCCCTTTCGAAATGTCCGCTACCATTTGCAAGAGTGGGCAAAGGGAAAAAGCCGGTGAGTTCTGTTCATCGCTTTGTGTTGAGAAATTAATTACCTTGCAGTCCCTCAAATCGCGAGGAGCTATTCAATTTGCGCCATGCACAAGCTCGCAACATTATCGAGCGAATCTTCGGTGTGATCAAAAAGCGGTGGCGCATTTTGATTATGCCACCAGGCTACGACATGGGGATTCAGGCACGCATTCCTGCTGCCCTGGCCGCACTTCATAATTTCATCATCGAACATGACCCGGATGACCGTGTGGATCCCGAGGTATGGGATCCTTCACCCGGTGGTACCGTTGACCCCGAGATGGTGGCTACTCTCCGGCTTCAAGGCGAGCTTGCCACAGAGCGATGCACATCAGAGGAGTCAGAAGCCGGAGAAGAACTTCGCAATCGTATTGCTGATGCAATGTGGACACAGTATCAGGAAATTTTACGCACACGTGCCGACGACTTGGATTCCGAAGAAGAAAATCAAGGCTCTCAAAGTGGAGATGGTGACGGAGAGTCTGCGATGAATGATGATGATTCGGACGGTGAAACAGATGGGATGGACATAGATTAGTTAAACTACTCCTCCTGC